TAGTCCAACACTGCTAAATTAGGGACGGCTAGCGCAGATAGCCCTCGTGTAGCTTTGCGCGAAATTCAAAAAACAAAAGCGATATTTATGGCAAATTTTGTAACGTAATTCTGTGCGAGTCAGACGTTGTGTATGTATTACAAGTACCAGAAAGTAATGTCGTTATTTTTTCTTATGCAGTAAAAGATCTTTTTAAAGGTAAGTATTTATTTTTCAATCAGTTACACAATCCACATTATTATTAATGACAATGTGCCATCTTTCAATCAAGCTTTCAGTTCCTCGTTGATAGAAGGAAGTTTTCTTTGAGACAAAGAATTCTGCGAGAGAAGTTTGATGCCATCAATATTTCTGAATGTTTTACCGCCGATAAAGTGCTGCATAGATCTGAATAAATGGTAATCTGAAGGGACAATGTCAGGAGAGTGTGAAGTGTGAGGCAGGACTTCCTAATCCAAATCTCTGATCTTGTTCTGAGTCATTCTTGCAGAATGTGGTCTCGCTTTTTTAGTGCTGGACGTTTTTCAATGACAACCTGGTGCAAACGGTCCAATTCTTGACAATAAAGGTCTGCAGTTATAGTCTGATTCGATTTCAATAACTCAAAGTGAATTATGCGGACTCTGTCATACCAAACAGACAACAAGACTTTCTGCAGGTGTAGACTTGGTTTGGCTGTTTGAATAGGGTTCAGGATAGAGCTAAGACACTGATTCTTGCACTATAAAAATTCGACGATGAAATGGTTCTTTCTCATATCTGGTTATTAATGAATTCCAAATTTTTATGCACTCTGCTTTGTTGTCTTCTGACAGATTGTGTGGAACCCAAACTCCGTGTCTATTGATCTTCCCGATCTGTTTAAGATGTTCTTGAACGCTAGACCAAGAAGAATTAAGTGTTCTGACAATTGTTGGATGGACTGATGGCGGTCTGACTCAACCTTTGACCTCAGGAGGTCAATGTCCAATTCTACTGGCCTCCCTGAACGATGGTAGTCTGAGAGATCAAAATCACCTGACTAAACTTTTCTGAAGTACCACTGGCATTTGTGGACACTAAACGCATCCTTATAAACCCAACAAATGTTTTTGATTGCCTCCATTGGTTTGTTATCTATATGAAACTCATAGATCATGCAATGTCGAATATGATTCTCGCTAGGAATATGGTCAGTAATTTTTCCTTATTAGAGGAAAATGTTTTTATTAACAGAAAATTGATGAACAGGAAGGGTTAGTTTGCCTGTTAAATCAAATTCATCTGAAAAGAAACGAAAGCACATAATTAGAAACTTTTCAATTAAAGGTAACAAAACCGACATTACTTTCTGGTACCCCTAATAGTTTAATTGTTGTACTAGGCTTTTGTAATATTGTTGCCGTCATCTTACTCGAAGCTTCTAAGTTTTCTCGTTTTGTGTAATATTGTTGTTACTAGGAGGCTAGATATTTCTATATTTTTGTGTCACGTGTTATAAACATGTGCAGATACAGAGAAAAAGTTAAGTTAGTGAAAGTAAAAGTGAATGATTGTGAGTTTAGACATAAAGAGCATACAGTGGCGATATCTAAGGTGAAAGTATCATAGCTTGTATTGTAATAACAGAGATAGAGGAGAAAAATTAGTCTTGTCAAAGGGTGTTACAATGTAATTGAACCTGCCTGTGTGGACTTTGACGAAAAGGAGACAATTATTTAAAGCTCTGGATAAAACTGTGATAATCAATAGTGTAACGAATTTTTGTACATACATTTGACTTGTTTTGAATATATTATTTTACTGTTGAAATTTATCGCTAACAAGTCACAGACACCCACTGTAAATAATCCTCGGCCCTTATAAAAACCTGACAGTGTGTTTTGCTCACACACAATAAATCATGTTATATTTGTAATGCAATTAATGCTTACAAGCATGTACTTTTAATAAGGGTAGAGACATTTTAAACCTTCCTACGAGCGCAATAAATATTTTCGTACAATGTAATGGTCATAGAATGTTTCAAGGGACATTTTTGTGTTATAAAATAAGTCTTTAATCTTATATCCTCAATCTATGACGAGTTTTGTTTTGTTATCTGTTTATCATATTGAAACAAAATGTAATGGTTTTATGAGTAACCATACATTTGCATATATGAATACATATATATTTTCAGTAGTATGTTTTGAGTCGTAGGACAGGTAAGAATTTTTTCCGCATAAAAAAAGTGTTTTCAGTTTTATATAGTTGTCATGAAAGTTGACCTGGTGAGCACTGCAACTTTTCTTAGTAGCAAAGTACAAACAATCCGTATTCTGATTAAACTTTGTAGCTGTAGTTCAATATGTGTGCCAAAGCTTAATTTGAACGTAATGTCACTATTGGCTTTCTTTAGGCCATAGAATAGGAACTTATTATTCAACCTTAGGAACTAAGTATGTACTAGAATTAAAGAAATTTATAATCAACGAAAGGCATAATCTAGCCAAGTACCAAACAACGCCGTATTATACATGTTTTCTTTACTGGAAGTTATACATTAAAATATAAATTGTGAGATAGCATCTGTAGCCTCGAGTTACTTAAAAGTAAGAGTCATAGATGTGTTAAAAAGCTATTTGTTTTATTTACATTACCCTATTGGTTTAATTGAACAAATTCACGCAACAAAACCGTCATAAAAATTGCACATAGAAGTATTTATGTTTAAGAAAGCACTAATGTTGTTTAGGTCAACGGTTTCTAAGTATAGGGTTAATAGGAGTACTAATTTAATGATGGCGAGGTTGTTGTATATTAACAATGTGAGTACTAATTTAATGATGGCGAGGTTGTTGTATATTAACAATGTGAGTACTAATTTAATGATGGCGAGGTTGTTGTATATTAATAATGTGAGTACTAATTTAATGATGGCGAGGTTGTTGCATATTAACAATGTGAGTACTAATCTTGTGGTAACATTATTGACAATGTCGTGCAGAATTAACTGTGCTTTATTGGTTTCCAATATGTGAGCTTTCGTTTTTCTTTCAATATTATTATATAGCAGTAAAGTGTTTTAATGCTAAATTGGTGAAAAATGGGGTAAATGTGACCGGGTGTGACAAAACAGGTTTGTAAAATATGGTTAGATATACTATGAAAGTGAAAACCCGTTGCAAGACCTGTGCCATTATATCTACAGTTAAATAATTAATAATAAATTCATTCTGCCATTTTATTCAGATATTTTCTTACAGTATTAAATATTGAATAAAAATATAAATTATTTGAACCAACACCAGTGTTTCGGCAAAAATAAAACTCTTCGTGCAGATTTTTCACTGGAAACATTGTCTTGATTACCTTACATGAGGCCTTGCAAGTTTACAGTAGATATAGCCCCCCCCCCACGCTTTTCATTCAATGAAACATACCAAAATATCATTTGAGGATTGCAAACCAAAACTATATTGTATAGTATCAATTATCCCAGATAGGTCGATAGTAACTTATATTATTGAAAGACACCTTACATGCCATTATTGGAAAATAATGTTTACTATCTAGACAGGTTTATCTGTCATAACTAAGAAATTTTATGGGGCCCCAGTGGCACAGCGGTATGTCTGCGGACTTACAACGCTAGAAACTGGATTTCGATATCGTGGTGGGCAGAGCACAGATAGCCCATTGTGTAACTTTGTGCTTAATTACAAACAAACAAACTATTCGTTTATGAAGAAGACACCAGCCATCTTGCATGTTATCATGTTATGTCCTGTAAAGTTTGAAGGGGCAAACCAAAGTATTTACCCCATATTTAAATGACGCCCCTACCTATATAATATTTGTTGTTACCCATCTATCTAGTTAGAATACAGCTGAATTTAGCTTCACATCCAAAACACGAATAAAATAAGTAAAGTACAGAGTATGTATGTTCTGTATGCCGATACAACTTTGCCCTCCCCTTCCAGAATGTTTCTAAAATCATGCCTCTGTATATAGGTGGACGTTTAAAGAAACCCACTCAGTTATAGTTGATGTTATGCAATTCCTATTAGTATTTTCTTTCTGAGTGTTCTTGCTTTTAGCAAAAAAAAAAAAATCTTTATCTATTAACCTGGGAGTTATATGTAATCTAAGTAATTTTCTCCATCTTCAAGCTGAGTATGCTGTCTGGCAGCTACGATGAAAAATCCTATTAAAAAATATCCTAATTTTAGATTCTGTAAGTTAATCAAATTTTCGAATTTAAACAAAAACTATTTATCGAAATTACTGTCATTTCCAATTACGTTATTGTAAATCAAATTAAGATGTTTTTTTCTTTCTTAATAGATATAAATTGTGAATAGTAATTTCGCCTTATTTTGACATATTATGTTTTAAGGAATTTTGAAAGTAATCTATGGCAGTAACTCCATCTAACGGAATGAGTATTTCAACAGTAATTACAGTAAATAGAGGAAACATCTCATCACACCTATTTTAATAATTACTTTTTATTTTAATTAATTCAACATCTGTCGTGTTTCTTATATTTTCTCTGAACAATGCATGCTGTTGTCAATCAATATAATTAAATACTTCTTAATTATATTTACCCTGCTTCAGCAAATGGGTGAATTCAAGGATTTGATAGAAGATTCTGTAGTATGAGTATTTTTTATCTCTGAGCAACCCCCCCCCCCCTCCGCAGTGGCTGAAGCCGTAAGGCTGAAGACTTCTAATGTATAGTTTATTTAAAATCATAAATAATATTCAACGTTAAACTGGTACACAATTAAAA